CCCCGCTTGAAGAATGAACTTTCTAGCACTCAGGGCTGTCCCTCGAAGCCAAGGGCTGACTTGTGAAGGAATGATCTTCCTGTCACTAGAATTCCAAGTCGATGCCAGTTTCGTACTGGAACGAGGAGTGATTTCCAGGCTGCGAATTCTGCCCATTACACAGCCCCTAGCAAAGCACTTGGCGCTGGATTACAGCTGTCAGTAAACTGTGAGCCCCTCCAGTGAGGGCCTGAGTCAAGCATCCACAGCACCTGCCTGTTGTAAGTGCTCAGGAAACATCTGACGAATGAACAGGCTGTTCAGTTTTATCACGTTTGCCCCCATGAAATGAATTCACAGAGGAAGTCCATGCCCCGGCCGGTCCTACAGGACGCAGTACCACGGCTGAGACTAGAATCCAGGGTTTTCCGTTGGGGGTTTTAGTGGCCCAGTGTTGAGCAGGAGAGTCCGCCTCACTGCTATACTGAGTGCTTCTCCTCTTGCACACAGCTGAAGAAAGACAAGGCTTTGATGAGCAGATTCCAGGATGGGCTGACCTACCCTGTTTTCAAGACCATCACAGACCAGTTCCTAAGGGCTGTGGACACCAGAGGAGAATCAGAGGTCAAAGTTCACAGCTTTAAGGCTGCTCTTGCAATAGACGCCATGTCCAAGCTCACAGCCATCGACAACCACCCCATGAACAAGGTGCTGGGCTTTGGAGCCAAGTACCTGAAAGAGAACTTCACGCCCTGGATCCAGCAGCATGGTGGATGGGTAAGTGCATCCTGTCTCAGAATGAATCTTCCCACAACTCAGAGGAGATGGAATAGAAAGGGGTTTTTTGGGTTTTGTTTTTTATTTGTTTTTTTTAAGTGAAGGGAACACTTCTTTGAAGCCGTTCTCATGAGTTTACGACACTTGAGTGGCAAGAGATTTATCCCACTGATGGGAACATATTTTTTAGTGGTTATCTTCATTATCAATAAATATTTACTGAGTTCTCAAAGGGTACATGGGGCCTCTGTGTAGGGGGAGAGGGAAGAGGGATGATCAGATAGAACAGGAAATGAAGAGATGCTGAGATAGAAAATGTTTAGATAGATATAATTTCTGTTTTCACAAATTTCGGAGGCCACAGAAGCCTGGCAGTGAGACAAGGAGGCAGACAGTTCCTTAGTCTCTCAGCTGCTGCTGGGGTGGGGGTGGGGGTTGGTCCTCACCCAGAGATCCAGGGCTTATGACATTGGGCCATTGCTGCATGGACCCAGCCATTTGTCAGGGACATTTTGATACAAACTAAAGAGCAGTGACATTTCCATCTATTTTTAACTTTAATTACCTGCTCTCAGGCCAAACAGACACCTTCACTTCTACCGCCTAACCTTTTCCCTTGAGATTTCCTTAAAACTGCCACGTTCGGATGGCCTCACAACCCTTTCAGAACGCTTTACCCCAGAGCCCTGACTCTCTAGGCCTAGGGCGTTTCTGTCTGCTCACGCTTTTCCCAGGAGGACACACGTTGTCATCAGCCTTCTTTCCACGAGGAAGGTCCAGGGGCCAGGAGCAGGTTTGAGTCTGCTCTGGGCACGGCCAGCATGACCCTGGGGCCTCCAGACAGACTGAGTCTCTTGCTACCAGAAGGAAGGCACAGCTGATCATGTCCGCCAAGGTCTCCACTGTTTGCGCATTAAGCTACCCAGACTTCTGTTCTTCCCTATTTTCTACCTTTGCATCAAATATGGTAGCGCTTAAAAGCCTCATCTAAGCAAAGCTCTGAAGTATTCTAACATCAAGCTGCCTTACCTCATGCTGAGAGGAGAGCTTCCTCCACATTATTCCAGCTTTAACTGCTTTTCCTCCCAGCACCCCCTCAAGTCCCTCTTCCGCCACGGAGACTATCCTGACCACTCCGGCTCAAGATCCTTTTACAACACTCCATGTTTGCACTATAATTACACACAAGAAATCACCATCATTGTTGGTCTTGTTAATATGTTTTTCCCGAGAGATTATAAATATCAGTTGGGTTCACAAGCCAGTTCTCAAACACCTATTTTGTTAATTAGTGTGGCTGAAACGCCAAAAGTGTTCTAGGAAAAATAGTGTTTCTGCATCAAAAGCACAAACAACAAAAGAAAAAATAAATTGGACCACCTCAAAATTAAAAACGCTTCTGCTTCAAAGGATGTCATCAAGAAAGCAAAAAGACAGCTTACAGAATAGGAAAAATATTTGCAAACTGCATATCTGATGAGGTACTTGTATTCAGAATAAGTAAGAAATTCCTACAAGTCAACAGTAAAAAGTCCAAAAGTCCCAATTTTTAAAATGGGTAATTGATTTGAATAGACATTTCTCCAGAGAAGATACACAAACGGCCAACGAGCACATGAAAAGATGTTTGCTTGACGTCTTCATTTCAACTTAGGGAAATGCAAATCAAAACCACAATGAGATGCCATTTCCCACCCACTAGCATGGCTAAAATGAAAAAGACAAGGCTCTGTGAGGATGTGGAGAAATTAGAACCCTCATACGTTGCTGGTTAGATTCTAAAATAGTCCAGCCCCTTTGGAAAACAATTTGGCAGGTCCCCAAAATGTGAAATGTAGAGTTACCAATTCTACTCTTAGGTCTATACCCAAGAAAACCAAAAACAAATGTTTACACAAAAACTTGTACATGAATGTTCATAGCAGTAATTATTATTCATAATATTCATATTATTCAAAATGGAAATACAAACTCTTATCCATGATGAATGATGAATGGAAAAGCCAAATGTGGTGAATATCCATACAATGGAATATTATCCAGCCATAAAAAGGAATGAGGTATGGACCGATGGATGGACCTTGAAAACATTATGCAAACTGAAAGAAGTCAACAAAAGGTCCATATATTGTGATTCCATTTATATGAAATGTCCAGAATGGAGACAGTGGTTTCCTAAGGCTCTGAGGAGAGAGACGGGGAGTGACTGCTGATGGCTACAGTGGTACTTTTTGTGGTGATGAAAATTTTTTAAATCAGATAGAGGTGATGGTTACACAACTCTTGTGAATATACTAAAAACCACTGAGTTGTATACTTTAAAAGGGTGAGTTTTATGGTATATTTCAATAAACCTCTTATGAAAAATAAGTGTTTCTAATTCTAGTAAGCAAATAGAAAGAGGAAAGAAAAAAGAATATAAATGGTTTTATTTACTTATTTTTTAATTTGGCTGCTAGTTCTAGAGAGAGTGAGTTCCAATTAGAGAAAAATAGATGGATTTTTTTTCACTAGAAATAATAAAGGGAATTTTCAGAGGCTTTAGAATTTTGTGGCACTGGCTTTTATCATTTGTATTTGCAATTCAAAATTTATTCGTTTACTTTTCCAGATCATTATAAATCCTAAGTCTTGGCCACAGTTAGGTTTAATCTGGAGCAGGTAGCTAGAAATTCGGAGAGGGAGGAAAAAAGAGTAAGAGAGGAAGGGATAAGTTTTTCCAAAGTCACAGAGTTGCAAAAAAATAAAAGATGCTGATGAAGGACTATTTATGAGTTGATATGATTGATGCGAGTGTGTGGACTGAGATGTGTGCTCAGTCTCCCCAGACAGGAAAGAGGCGACACTGGGCGGCAAGCCTCCAGGGACTTCCACTGCCCCAGGGATTTCGGTGGCTCTCGGGAACGTCCTGCTAGTGCTGTGGAAGGAGGAATCTACTCCTGGGCGCAAGTTTTCCAGGAGCTACGGGCTCCTAACTGTTAGTACTCCACACTTCATAGCAGTGCATCTACGCTTTCCAACTGAACGGCCAGTCTGTGAGGGCAGGACTGTGTATTTTATGCCTCTTTTTTTCTCTCATTGCTCCACTAGTTTCATACAGTCAGATATGTTCGGTCAATACTTGTAGAATACACATGAATCAGTAAAATGAATGAATAGCTTCTCTATCCACAAAGCGTGCTAAGCCAGCCACCACTGGGTTTGAATTTGTCCCTTGGCCCTTCTGTCTCACTGTGAAGCACCGTTCATGTAGTTACCCTGTGGTCCTGCGACCTCGCCCATTCTACAGCACATTGAAAGGAGAGGTTAGCAGCCTCCACAGTCATCAACCTTTTCCATTTAAATACAGCATCAAAGACTTTTCCCATCTCGACGGTTGGTCCTGGGTGTGTAACCTAAGTCCTTAGCTGCTGTTTTCCTTTCAGGCATACCAAGGATGCCAGTCACCTTTCCAAACCTTCCCCCAGCCCTAACATGGTCTCTGAGCCTCGGGTCATGCCTGGGACAAGAAAGCAGAGTTAAAAGGCATATGTTTTCACTTCAACGGTGAATCAAACTTGGAATTTTAAGAATCTGTTTTTCTTCTTCCCCCTCTAGGAAAAAGTACTTGGGGTATCAGACGAAGAAGTACAGAGGAGATCACATGAAGAAGTAGACTGAAGCATCTGAGGATTTGTGACCTGGGATACCCATGGTCCAGCTCTGGCCTTGCGTGCATCAGTCTCAGCACAGACGACGGGAGAAAACAAAAATGTACAAGCCAGGTGGAGCATCAAAGCCTGCACAACCGTTCTTCCTGTCAACCCAGAGGCATCAGGAGAGGCCTGGGTCGTCCCTAGCTCACAGAAAGTAGAAGCGTGGCCCTTGACACCCATGTTTTCAGGTCCTCCATCGAGTATGTGAGGAAGTCTAGAAAGACCAGTGGTAATTTTCCCTTCAGAGGCTTACAACAGAAACCACCCTCCTGCCTCTGCTGGCCACTTTAGGGAAGTACGTGACGGATACTCGTTGACCTCATGAGGGTGAAATGATAAAATGGTGCATGTGCTTATTACTCTTTGGGTTCTAGTACTATTTATTTTTTAAACTTCACTTGGGATGGCCCAGTAACGACATTGTTTCAAGCCTACCTTTAGGATGGCGTGGCTGTTCATGTTGGTAGATACTGCTCATGGAGACACTGCCATAGCTACCTTTTGGACTCAGTCTCTTGGAGAATTTTCTGGCTGTTTGTAAAATCTTCCATCTGGCAGAAAACAATTACTCCTGCCACCCTCAGCTATCTCACTGACCCCGTCTCTACTTCTCAAGTTTCCTGGGACTTTTTGTTTGTTCGTTTGTTTTTTGAGGTAGTGTAATGATTAGTAGTTGGTAAAATAAATAATGTGGAAAGACAACTGTCAAAAGAATACATTTATGCTTAAAATAAGCAGTAAATAAGAGTCTAAGGTTTCTCTGAGGATCATGTAAGTTAACTGATAGCAGGTGCTTAGAACAGAGCTCGGTATTTAGTGCTATGTGCGCTGGTAATTACGTGCTGCCCTCAGCTAAGCTGAGAAGCTCCTCTCCTCTCAAAGCAGCCACTGACATTTTTTCTGAAATAGATACTGTTCAGAATGAGGTTTTTTAAGTAAGTGAAGTATGTTTCATACTAAGTATTTAAGACACAAAACAATTTTTTTAATACTATCAAATTACAGGGTCTCACAAATGTCTGCATCCCCAGCTCCCAGCACGTAGCCTGGTGTAAAACAGGTGTCTAATAGATCTTGATGAACAAATAAATGAATGCGTTAATCAGACACACTTTCAGCTTCAAGGGAAACTTGGAGCTTTCTATTATCACATGATTCACTGCTCTACCCATCTGAATTAAAACGAGTTATTCTCTTTCACTTTCTTCCCCCACACTGAAACTCACAAATTTTCAGGATAAAGGAGTTCCCTTTTACAGATGGAGACACAGGAGACCACCTCTTCTCTATTCCAAACTATTTGCGGTTCCCCAAATGTATTATGCAACCTTGTTCCTCTGAGCCTCGTTAACATTTTCTCTGCTTGGAGTGTTCTTGTCTGTCAGTCCTCTTTCCCCCATTTTCCCTCCAATCCAACTAATCCCAGCCCATTTTTCCAAATTCACCCCTTCATTTTCTCCAGGAAGCATTTGCTAACCCTCCCTGGACCACCACAGGGCTGCATTCGGATGCCTTTCTTCATAAGGATGTCCCATAACACCCCGTATAGACACCTTATACCCAACACACTGTACCATAAACAGGAGTCTCTTGCACTGGATTGGAAATTCTTTTGTAAACAAGTCCTGTGTCTAATTTCACTCTGTGTACCTAACGCCTGGCATGCCTTTAGTGCGTAGTTGCAAATCACACCCTAGTTTCACTGCTGTAACCGGTGAGTCAGTAAGATCGGAGGATGGCCCGAGGTCTGTGTAGTTTTAACAAGCTCTCCAAATGTTCCAATATCATCTGCAGCTTCCAGCCAAGATGAAGTAATAGTAACTGAATTTAATCTCCTGCTAAAAACAACTGAGGAAAAAAAATAGATGGAATGTAATGAAAGAACAGTTTTCAACACATTGTGCAGCAGGTAATGAAGGACTGGTTCCTGAGAGACAAAAAAAGTGAGCTCAGTGATCGCCCTAGATTACGGCAGGTAAAAAATCCCCAGGCCGTGCCGGAGGAAGGGGAGCCCAGACAGGGCGTAGCGTTCTCCCTGAACACAGGAGACGGAGCCTAGGAGTCCAGGAAGACCAAGGCAGCTGAAGCTTGCAGGGCAAATGGAGAGAAGAAAACGGCACACAAACCCCCGGAGATGTGCAGACAGCTCCCCCTCCGGTTTTCAGATGAACCCTTATCATCTCATGCTTGCGAAGAAGCGACCCAAGACTTGGGAAAGAAACACCTGAAAGTGTGAAGGGGAATACTCTCCAAGGCACACACAGAGCTGGGAGCAGTGCCTACTTCCACTAGCCAGAATGGAAAAACTTCAAAATCCACAGGGCAGTAGGCAGAATACCCAGACGGATTTTGCCTCGGTGGTGGGAAAGAATTAGCCCTAGACTAAACAAGCTTCTGGATCTGCCCAACAGAAGTGAAGAGCAAGCACCAAGAGGATTAAACTGTTATCAAGTAACTCAGCTGTGTTCCAGAACAAAGCTCAAAACCCTTTAAAGGATCACAAGAAGATCCAGCACCCAAAAGGTAACATTCACAATGTTCAGCATCCAGTAAAAAATTACAAGGCATATAAAAAGGCAGGAAAATTAGACCCATAATGAGGAGAGAAAAACATTTTTTAAACACCCCAGAAATGATACAGTTGATAGAATTATTAGACAAGGACATTAAAACCATTTTAATTGTATCCCTTATGTTCAATAAGCAAGAGGAAAGACTGAACACATGAAGTTAAGAAATTATAAATATGACTGAAATCAAACTTCTAGAGAAACCTATAATTCTGGGATGAAAAATACACTGGACTGGATTAACAGCAGGCTAGATATTGTAAAAGAATAGATAGATAAACTTGAAGACACAGCAAGAGATCCAAACTAAAACACAGAGACATACGACTGGGGAAAAACACCAGAGCAACAGTGAGTTATGAAATGACTTCTACCAGCCTAATACACGTAATTGGAGTGAAGATTTTCCAAATTTGACGAAAACTATGAACCTACAGAACCAAGAAACTCAATGAATGCCAATCACAAAAAAAATGTAGAAAACCACACTAAGACACATCATAGTTATTCAAAACCAGCGAAGGGGAAAAAATCTTAAACATCGCCAGAGAAAAAGGCACATTATAGACAGAGAAACAAAAATAAAAATGACAGCAAACTTTTCCTGGCAACAATACAAGAAAGAAGAAAGTAGAGTAATAACTTTAAGGTATCAAAAGAAAAAAAAAACCTTGTCAGCACAGAACTCAATACTCAACAAAAATATGATTTAAAAAAGGAAGGTGAAATAAGGATTTTTTTTGAGATACACAAAAAAATAAAAGAATTCCTCACCAATAGAACTGAACTACAAAAAAAAATTAAAGGAGGACCTTTAGGCAGATGGAAAATTGTACCAAAAAGAAATCTTATCTATAGAAAAGAGCAAGCACTGGAATGATAAATATGCAAGTAAATACAAAATCCTCTTTCTTATTCAAATCTCTTTAAAAGATAATGGGCCATATAAAAGGATAATAACCATAATGTATTATGGGATTTGTAACACATGTAGAATAAAATGCATGACCGTAGTAGTACAGAGGCCAGGAAGAGAAAGACAAATACAAGATTCCACACTATTCGTGACATGTGTAATTTCACTTGAAAGTAGGCTGTCGTATTTGACACAACATTGTAAAATGATTCTAAATCAATAAAAAATGTTAAAAAAAGACGAAAGTAGGCTGTCGTAAGTTTAAAAGACATACTGTACATCTAAAAAAAATCACTAAAATGTACATATATATATACCACACACAAGATTTACAGCTAGAAGCCGACAAAAGTGATAAAATGTAATCAGAAAAATATTTAATCTAAAAATGAAGCAGAAAAAGGGAACAAAGGACAGATAAGACAAAAAGAAAACAAGGGCAGGCTGGTGTATTAAACCAAACCACACCCATCATCACAAGAAGTGAGGGAGGTCTAAAGATCCCACTGAAAGGCAGAAATTACTCGATTAGATAAAAATCCAGACCTAGCTATATGCAGCCTACAAAAAGCAGCTTTAAGTACAAAGACATGATTGTCTTAAAAGTAAAAGGATGGGGCGAGGTGCCAAATGGCAGCGTAGAAAGTCTCACAGCTCACTCTCTCCCAGAAATACACCAAGAATTATATCGACAAACCCACTGAATCTCACAGAACACCTACTGAAGTCTGGCCGATTGTCTCTTGCTTTGAAATACAGGAGGATTCTCACAAAATCTGACAAACAAGAAGTTCATACTGTACAGCAGAGGGAACTGTATTCAATATCCTGTAGTAACTTATGGTGAAAAAGAATATGAAAATGAATATTTCTATGTTCATGTATGACTGAAGCATTGTGCTGTACATCAGAAGTTGATACAACATTGTAAACTGACTGTACTTCAATAAAAATACATTTATACCAAAAAAAAGAAAAGGAAAAGGATGGAAAAAGAAATACTGTGATAACCCTAATCAAAAGAAAGATGGAGTGGCTATATTAATACCAGTCAAAGTAGACTTCAGCATAAAGAATATTAACATTAATTAGTATTAATGTCATTTAACAATAATAAAGGGGTCAATTCATCAAGAGGACAAAATTTTATAACGTTGTATCTTCTAGTGTGTGCGTTTTCCCAACACCACCGAGAATTCTCCAACATCAGCAGGGGATCCGACAATTCAACCCAATCTGACAGTACCTGGGCCAGATCCCACAGGTTAACGGCTCAGTTCCAGGAGACTGGCTCCCTCCTGCCCCCAACACACGCTTCAGATGTCGATCACAAGTTCAGGTTGTCACCTGGGCTACTGACCAACAGGCTATAATCAGAAGTTCCTATGACCCTCTCCTTGGGTTCAATTAATTTGCTAGAACAGTTCACAGAACTCAGAGAAACACTGTACTTACTCAATTACCAGTTAATTATAAAAGGATATAGCCCAGGAGATAAGCCTGATGAAAAGATGCATAGGGCTAGGTATGGGGAAAGGACGCAGAGCTTCCATGCCCTTTCCAGGAGTGCCACTCTCCCACACTTCCACATGTTCATCAACCCGGAGCTCTCAACCCGGTCCTTT